ATATATAAAAGAAAAATTTAACCCAGAACATGCTGCCATATGAAAATTCATATTACACTATTAAAAATACTATTAAAAAGAAGAAATGTTTAATATATACTACCGAGTGATGCTCATCATAGAATCATTTCTCAGAAATAGAAATAATATGAGACCACAGATAACTGTGGTGGTGTCTGCTATTACTGAGATCAGGCACCAGTCATTTGCACCAGAGATGGAAGAAAACTATTAGATCATAGTTCGTACACTGCAGATGGAGTAAACCATCTTCTGCTGAAGAACCTCACAGATACTAAAAAGATGACATGCCATCATCTGAGGTCCATCCCTAAAAGCTACCAATTACACAAAACACACCCTGAACTGATCCTAGTGTAGCTGTTGAAAATGTCACTGGAAATGCTGCACAGGAAAGAGATTGTTGTATTTCTGTTTACAGCAGTTCTAGCACAGCATTATTACTTATAAACTTGCACACACACAAAAATAACCCTGAAATAACACTTTGTTGTTATGTTCTGTTTAGAACAAATTATATATAAAGACAGGCCATTACATGTTCTAAGAACACTTCCTCAGAAAAAGATTCTAAATCAGGATATTCAGCTGCCACCCCATTCAACTTGGACAAAGATGAAACAAAGAATTTGCCTCCCAGGCATGGCAATTAAGTCTGCTTTGTACTTTTAAATACAATAGAAACCAAAAAAGTGAAAAAGTTGGCCTTTAAGGACAAAGTTTAAACAGACTGATTACTTTGAAATTTCTCTGTGATCTGACCAAGCCAACTTCTCACTAGTACACCAAACCTGACAACCACAAACCTTTCAAGAAAGCACAAATCTCTGAATTTTTTCAGTATGTGTTAAGCAAAGGACAGAAGAGCAGGCACAAGATGATGTATCGGAAAAGGCTAGGCTGATGTCAGGAGATCCCCAGATTGCTCTCTCCCCAAATTGTTCCTGTTTATCCAAAATCTATTTATTTTTCAGAGTTTAATCACATAAAAAAAAGGAGAGGTGGACATCTATGATTTGCCAGTCCCATCATTCCCCATCATGCAAGTCAATGGTTAGACAAGCCTTTGTTTTTTTAACAAGTTATGATTGTTAATACAATTTAATATGCAAAATTGCAGTACTCCCAGGCCATACAATTAAAAAGCTCCTAAATTTTCTCAAGCCAAAGGTGGCCTTATATATTTCAATACTGAGTATTATTTTAGAATTTTAACTAGCACAAGACACAGGAAAAAAAAGAAGGCATTAGAAAAGAAAAATATGCTTGTGAACTCTAGGAAAGGACAGAACCTTCCTGTAAGTGCTAGAACAAGTATGACCAGGAGAGGTGGAAAAGTAATTACGGGAAAAAGCTCACATAAATGCAATTTTGTAGTTCAGAAGTTACTGCTTTTCTTTGCACTTTGTTTGGACACTAGGATGACATTACGATCACCTTAAACACATATAGCAGTGACATACCCTTTTGACCTTCATTGACCACTGCACCACGATACAGCTATCATCAAACCTAGTGGACAGGGCTTTTCAGTCAGAGCTGAGTGACTGTCCTTAGATGTACATCCTTCCTAAATAATGTGAAAAGGAGTTAAGGGGAAGCAGAGGAAATCACAGGACTTGCCCTGAACAGGAAAACATTTTCAAGTCCTGGGTCAGAAGTTATGTGGGGCCTCATCTGTCACTGCAGTCCCACAACACAGAATTAAGCCTATCTTTTCCTAAAGCATTGTACTTGCCATGATCCTGGCTGTTCAAGGATGGGTCTCCAGCCCCTCATATAGTATATTATCAGTGTTGCCTTTGGCCAGAGAGGGAGCCTTATTGATAGTACACTTAACCTGATCCCTGCTCCAGGTAGTTTGTTTATTCTTTTGTTGTTTCTTTGTTGTTGTTTTTAAATGATTATAACAATTACAAAATACAATGTAAAAACAACCTGTGGAGCAAGAACATGAGCCCAGATGTGCCTTAAAAAGCTCTAAAGCGTTACATTAGAGCTTTAAACTTGCCTTCCTTTCTCGAGCCCCGTGAGTTCTTAATTTCTTTACTGCAGAACGACACCATTTGAGTAAGGAATAGAAATCAATCTATTTGTATACAAAGAGACAATTACAATGCCTTTTAGACTCGGTTTGGGGCAGAGATGCCTCATTTTTAAGATCTCACTGAGTTTCAGGCATGAGGTGGAAAGTGTGTGGCTCAACTTTACAGGTCCATTGATGTCTGAAATAAAATAGTTCATAGTATTCACGCAACACACGTTACAAAATTGCTTGATATGAGAACAGAAGAGACTCAAGATTTTATTGCCTTGTCAGATGTAAAAATTTATTTATGTTTTTTATCAAGTGTTTAAATTTACACAAAAGACAACACTTCAGGTTCAGGTCCAATTGTCCATCAGTAAACCCTACATCAGAATACCCTTGACACTTCCAAGTATGATTTTTACAAGATGCCTGAAAACAGCAGAATCTGATAAAGAATGGCCAGCTTCACAAGCCTGAAGGTCACTACCTCATCAGTATTTCTCTGCTGAGCATGACCCACAGAACAGTGGAAGCCTTAAAACCATTTTAATCCCCAAACACTATCCCTACTGCACTCAGAGCATTTAAATCATATTGCCCTGCATTAGTAACACCAAACATTATAGCTAGTCTTAAAAATTTACCACATCTCCCCCTAACAAACCCCCCCCCCCTTTTTTTTTTTTAAACATTAAGAGAACTGTGCATCAAAACAACTGCAAAATACACAATCATCCATTTGGCTTGGTTTTACAATAAAAGTAACATCAGTCATCTATCTGCTAACTTCATGTCTTGTGTTGTGCTCCTTTCCCCTCCCCTTTCACTTTGGAAACTACACTAGACCAGGCAGTTTAATTGTAGCACTGAGGTAGCATATTTTAATTAAACAGAATAATAGATCTGCTACTGTGCCTCCTCTCCTTTAAAGCACAAAAAAAAATCCCCAGTTTTTCAACTTCTTTGGAGAAGACAGGCATATAGGTCATTTCCAATAGCCACTCCATTTTGAATTCAAAGCACAAAGCATCTCTGAATGGTAGATAAATTATACCAGCTAGAATGAATGAGAACATATACAAGAAGAAACTATGTCAGTTTTATTAAGAACTATGGTTACATTTTAGCTCTATGGCACCTATTGTTCCCTACTACAAAATGCATCTTTACAGTCTCTGAAATTGAATTTCAAAGACTAGGATCCTGAAAAAGGGCAGCTGTGCCTCATTTCTTCTAAGTGATTTTCACACTATCTGCAGAAGGGGTCAGTCAACAAAGCCAAAAAAAAAAATCAAACAGACCTAATATAAAATCAATAGGAATTAGCAACATGAGTATATTAAATGAGTTGAAGATAAGGCAAAAGATATAACATGCCTGAATGAACTTGAGAGCACTTTCCACTCACTTAAAAGTTAGAGCCGGGATAGCCTTTTTTAAAAAAAAAAAAAAAAAAAAAAAAATCATCACTGCAAGACTAGAAGTTTAGTTTTATAACAAATTGAGAATAACAGTATCTCAGCTTTACCCTGCTGGCTAAAAGCTTTAAAAGAAAAAGCTGAAATCAGGCTGCACCCAAGACTGCAGCCTTAACACCCAGACTGTTTACCGAAGTAACTCTTACAGACACCTGTATATTTAGGAGTGAATAGTAAACAGTGACTGCAAAAAACGGTAGTCATTTTCTGCTCTGTATGCCATGCTGGTACACATAGCCTTGTTAAACTCTGTTGCATGGTACACAATCCTCACCCATCCCCGGGCTGCATCTTTGAATGCCCCCTCTCCATCTTTCATACAGCAAAACAAAAATTTTACTGCAGTTAAAACCCCTTCAGTCAGCTGCAAGCATAAGGTAAATTGTTTTTTAACACCCTGGAAAGCAGATTGAGAGTGTAACTGAGCTGACTGCTAAATAAACCCTCAGGAAAACACCTCAACAGCTGAGGGAAAATGCATAAGTTATAATGACTACTTCAAGCTGGTTATGGAGACTTTAATGTTAATCTTTCAAGTAATCCAAGATGCACTCCAACACCTGTTATCAAAAATTTAAGGCTTTTATGAACACCCTCTTTCATACAAAAGGAGTATTAAACAGAAGAAACTTGTTTACAGTAAATACAAACGTCTGAAAAATCTCTGAAACCTGTTTATACAAACACTAATAAATTCTTTACTATTTTGTACAACTAGAAGGTGCACAGATTGGCATTGAAGCAGTCAATGCTGGCGAACATCTGTCAGACAATAACATGATTTACTTGGATAACAATATAGTTTAAAATGCTATAAATTAAAAAATAAGTTAGTTCACATTTTTTTTTCCCCCAGCTTTTATATACAACTTAGTCTTTACTGAGATCGCGTAGCCTTCTTCAGAAGCTCGAGGTCTTTCCGTCGGCTTTTGATTGCTCTGGCACAGCCATACTCTTCCAGTTGTAAAGGGATATACTTTTCTATCTGAACAAGCCCATGCCCAGCAGGACTGGTAAACAGCTTAATCCAGGATGGCTTAAAGTTTCCTCTGAAGCCCAGAAAGGCCAGGCTTCCTGTGACAAAAACAGCTCAGTGTTACCGAACCAGCCAAGCCCATCCAAGCACAACACAGGACGTGTTGGTAAGTGAACAGCACGCTCCTCTGAAATTCTACCCCCAGATTATCCAGGACATTAATCCACTCTTCAGCTTCATGTGTACTACGCAAGTAAATATCGATTTGCAATTTCCTTTTTCAATATTCAGTATTAAATACTCTGAAATCTTAATTTGAAAAACAGCTATCAGGACAGTTATAAAACCTGCTTTCTCAGACAGGGCTTGTGCCAGGGCCCTGAACGGACAAGAGATACGCCATGTGGCCTATAAAGTGATCACCCCTCAAAATACCAACAGCTTCTCATCTCTACCTTCAAGTTTTATTAGAACAGGAAATACTAGCCTGGCACAGGAGATACTTTAAAAATAGATTTGCTGGGTGAGGCACAAAATACAGGCTTTGGGAAAAAAGCCTGGGGTTCTTTTTCTGTAGTCCACAGGCACGAAGAACTGCTAGTCAACTATCTCCTTGCAAGAAGCTTCACAAAACGCCCTGTGGGGCGACAGGAAGGGTTTTCTGCCCCATCTGCTGAAGGCCTGCCCACCCCCCCATCAAGGGCTGAAACACAGCAGCCCACACCAGTGCAAACTGGCAACCATCCTCCGCCAGCTGCATCCTTTTCACACGCCCCATGAGAAAGCCACCATGCCAACATAAACACACAACATCCAGACCAAGGTGGTGTCAAAGAAAGGTGCGAAATTTCCACCAACCGTTGCTCTGAAGATAAGGCGGTTTGGCTGTCCCCAGGGACATGAAGGCTTCTGATAAATTATCAGGAATTGCTACATCACCTCTTGTGCTCAGTAGAACAATAGACCTGCAGCAGAAACGGTGTTATAAACACAAAGTTTTCTTAATATTCTGCTACATGCTTTTACAGCTAGCTGGCCTCATAGTCCACTTGCTTAAGAGTACTCATGCTATGTCATTTCATGACATGCAAACAGTCAGCCCTCTCTGAAAGCACTACCTAGAAAAGCACCCACCCAGAATTTTTTTTTAAACTGACTTTTAAATTTAAACTTCAAAATAATTGGAAAGTGTTATTTAAATATAGTTTAATATTTTGTATCAAAAAATCAAGTTTAGATATTGATCCAAAATTAGAATATTAGAATGCTGATTTTTCTGGCAGTAACTTTTTACCTTTCTTAAGTGATAAGCAATTTTCTCCCTAGACAGGGAGAGAACACTGTGTTATCTTGTCACATAGTTTTTGTTAGTGTCCTTAAGTGACCTTATTAAACAAAAAGTTAAATATTGTTTTAAGCAAGAAGTGTTATTACATGATGTGTAGTTAAAAAAAGAATTCTTTTTGAGGTGAAAGACAGGCAACACTGGAAAATTTTAAGTGTTCAAAACGTGAGTTGGTTTGTTTTCTCAAGTAAGGCTAAATTGTCTGTTAAAATGCTCTGAAGTTTCTCCTTTCTCCTCAACTTAGATACGTTTTGCTCACTTTCAGTGCTCCTGTATAGACATCATTATTTAAATCTTTGTTAGAAAGCAGAGCTACAGCTTACAGGACATGGTGGAAATAAATGGTCATTACACATACCTTTGCGGAATTCCAGATTTTAAATATCCATCTACACGCTTAATGTCTACTCCAGAAAATAATTTGTTTAACGACACTGTGCCAACGCAGGCATCAACTACAACAATAAGTATACCATTATCCTTGAAGGAAAACACAGTGTTGTTGACCTGAATGGAAGGTAAAAAAGAGAAAAGAACTTTTTCTTTCTTTAAGTTAATATGAATTAAACAGAGCGATTCTACTGCACTCGGTGTTGATCTTCATCTAGTTAGACACAGTGGTGTTACTAATTTCCTTACAAACACTTGCTTCTCCCTGGCATCTCTTAAATTTTCCCCATTGAGGGGAGGCTTTCAGTGGGACTTCTGAAATTGCACGGGAGCCTTCAGTCCCTGGCTTCTACAGGGAGGTCATACATTTCAGGTGACTCACTACCTGCCTCGGTCACTGCTCCTGCTTCAGGAAGCTAAAATTCAGATAGTGAACTACCTTGACTTCTTGGCAATAGCGCAGTTAATCTGTCCCTGCAGCAGCACAGTTTCTTTCTACGGAGCAGTCTTACTGCTTTGGATATGGCACACACATTCCTGTAGAAGTTTGCAGCTACTAAGGTTACGCTGCTCACATGCTATTTGTCTATCTAAATATCTCAAGAGTTTTATTATTTCAACCAAGTGAATGCACTGACATTGCAGAATGTAAGCCGCCTACAGACTTTAAGCTTTGTGGTGTGAGGATAATATTTCAGCATCATGTGCAAGTCTCCTTCAGCATCCAAATAGAAAAGTGTAAGTAAACTACTTTTTGTACAGTATCACATTATTAGCTTTATCGGGACTGCATCAGAACAAATACAGAAATGTCTATGGATTCTTTAGTAATTGCCATTTTGAAGGAGTTTAGCAAAGCTTAATGGCTTGAATGACTCATCCCATTAACTCACCAATCTCTTAGCACAAAAACAATTTCAACAACATGGATTTAACTAAAACGTCATTTGGTGGGAGTCCCCCTGCCCCGCCAAAAGCAGCCATCAATAAAAATGGATATCCATCCAGATTTCAACATGAATCTGAAGATTTTAAACTCTCCCTTACTGGCACAATTTTCTCTTCAGGAGGAAAGGATTCGAATACAAAATGGAGCTTTGGAGCCTTATTTTCTGAGGTTAAAACATCAGCTTTTTGACGGTTTGGTTTTTAAACTATGAATGAACACTTTTCATTCAAGTGAAGAAAAATGAGGTCAGCACTATGTAGAGCTGTATAACTGTTGCAATAGAAACTGCTAAAAAGAAAGACACAAGAAAACCATGAAGAATACTTACAGAAATAAATGCTTGTTGACCTCTGCTTAATTCTTTTTTACCAGATGAATTAATCTGCACAAGGAGGTAGTTTTTGTGAGGATCACTGGTGAATACCATCTAGGTATCAAACAAAAACAGGTAAGTACACATATCCATGTGTCTTCAACACCTTATGTCAGACAACTTACAACAGACCATCCATGCTCCAAAGCACATGCATCCATTTGTCAGTGGCATTATTTACAGTACTAGCAAAGCTAATAAATATCATGATGTATAGTGTAACCTATTTTACTCCTTACTCTCAATATTCTTCTCAGCTTACAAGCTTCCTTTAGCTTGTATAGCTAAAACAGATAATGCAATTTCAAGTTCATGCTATAAGCAAAGATCCAAAAAAGAAGAGAGAAGGTTGGCCTATAGCATGTAGATCTCTGCAGCAAAGCTATACTACATGGAGTACAGACAGTACTGTAGTACAAGACATCAGATCTACCTATGTCCCTTCTCTGTAGCACTCAGTGAGAGATGAAGCAGTATTTTTCAAAGAACAAAAACTGAGACCTTTGTGCTACAAGGGACTCCCTGCCTTCTGGCATATAGGAGATTAACAATTTGACCACCACAAACCTGCAGGTGCAGTATTCTGTGCTGAAAGACTGAAATTCTGCGTTAAAGCATGTAGACAGCAACACAAACTATACAGTTCATGAAAGTTTTTGCTTATTTTACTTTACCTGAGTTGTGCCACATTTTGTACATGGTACAGTAGTTTTTACTGGCATCCGCTTTATAACGGTTGGTCCTTGGTAGTACTTTGGGTATGCTTTTGCCATGCAGTTACTGACCCCTTTTGCTGAATCTTTGGTCACAATCTTGATCCTTTCACATCCCTGAGATGAGCAATAACTGTGACCATCCCTATTATATTTGGCTTGAAGAAATAAAAACAGTAATCTACACAGAAGGGGGAAAAAGAATCTAGATCAATTGCTGGAAAGATAGGTATTTATGTTAAGCCTTAACAGCTATATTTCATGATTTTCAGAAACAGAGAAACCACAGTATTCACTTCTGCACCATTGTTCAAACTTTTTCAAAATATTTACAGTTCACTAGCATTAGGAATTCTCTACTGACATATCTGAAATTGCCAATAATTAAAGGCGACATCATTATGAATGCATATACTTTGAAAAGAACAGCCACTCCTCAAATCAGTGGCTTGCAGGAAACAAAAAACAAACTGCAGAGCATAACTGTTTTCTTTGATCATAGATCCTTGCAGATACCCAGCAGTAACTGGATATTCAACTTCACACACCAGCACTGGGCAATGTAACTGGACAATGTACTGTTGAAAATGCCTGGAAATGCAGTTTAGGGGGTACTGGTCATCAGTGTTCACAGTACACAGAGACCAGTAATTCTTCTATTATATATTTGACTGTTATCACTGTAGCTTTTAGACAAAAGAAACTTAAATGTCTTTTCAAAAGCTACATTCATCTGCGCATTTACTACAGAGAGACAAAGTAGCAGATAGGGGAACAAAATAAATAAGAAGAACAAATTAGAAATTAAAGATCAACATTTGCAAAACACACAAGTGATGTATGTAGGACTTATTCAAAGCTGACCACATCTTAAACCTCTCAGAAGGATCTCAGTAGCCTCTGTCAGAAGTACTTTTGAAAGAGAGACTACGACTTTTATTTACGTTTGAGAAAGCTGAAAACAGATTAGGATTTTCAGAAATACATTCTTAAAATGTTCCTGGAACAGAAAACTTCTTGGAAATTTCTGGAATTTTCAGTTTAACAAGAAAGCACAAATTTTCATTGAAGACTTAAGAGGTACTTCCTGAAACACACTGCTCTGCAGCACACCAGATACCGCATTTTCCCCAGACATGGGGTAGGAAATATCTGTGGGAACTGTGGTGCTCTTGGAAAAGTATTTCAGTGACAACCACTGTATTCTGGAGATTCAAAGTCACATAAAGTATTCTTTCAAATAGGCTTTGGGCTCCTTCGCAACAGCTCTCCTCTTACGCAGGTGTCTCAATCAGTTGTTTTTAACACTATCAAACTGGACATTTTAAGGTTAAACAACATCTTCCAATACGGTCAAGTTACAAGGAGTTACCCAGTACTGTTGTCAAAGTAGAACTTCTTGTCTGATCGATTCTTTTCGAGCTCCATCATTGAAGATACAGGCATGTAGCGCTCTACCTTGCTTGACAGAGCAGATGACCGCCTTTGAAAAGTTTCCAGTACTATAACAAAATCTGTATTTGGTTGATAACAAAGACCAACACGAATCCAGTCATTCCTGAAAACAAAAGAAACTGTATGATTCACTGAAGGAACAATTCAGATGACAATACACAGCAAACAGATCACTCAGAAAACAAGTAACAGGAACACAAAAAGCTCCCAAACCCTTAACCAGATCTTTCCTCCCCTTTCTACATGAAGTGTTTCATTAAATGTTACAGTAACTTTGATACTCTCAGGATTTATTTGATTTTATAATTGAGACATTTAATAAGTTTATCTGACAACAAAATCAAGTATGCTAAACTATTCAACTCCAATTCTGCTCAACTTCACTATTTGCATATTTTCTTCTCCAAACGATTTTCCTTAAAGACACCATACTGGACAGAATTTTAACTTTAGGTGCAGGTTTATTGCTTAATCTCTTGCTTTTCATACTTCAGTATTTGTAGTTACAAAAACCGCCCAACCCAAGATCCAGTCTTACTGACAGTTGCGAACTCTCACACATGATAATTCTGCAGGACATTACTTCAGTATTGCGTTAAGGATCAATGACATGAAAGAAAGTAAGCATACTTGTTGAAGTTAATGAGATAAAGATAGGTGACGTTTGGAGCTTTTCCATTCCAATGTATTGTGTAGCCCTTTTCGAGCATCACTACTGGCTGGTATTGTTGAAAGACAGCTCTCTGATTAATACCTCGAAGAACCATGGGATTGGCTGGGTACTCATCTCGCACAATAGTCATGGAAAGATTCTGTCCATTCCAGGTTTGGACATAAACCTATATGATATTAAGGAGGATGAAAAGAAAGAGGAAAAATTTGGACTCTTTGCAAAAGAAAATTAAATAGTGAAGAATAATCAGTACATTATTAGGCAAAATGCTGCAGTTTGATGTTCTGAGTTACACAATACACGAATATCTCCTTAAGAGCCCTATTTGAAAAACTATTTTGTCCATTTTACAGACAAAAAAAGGGGAGGAAAGGGGCGGGGGGTGGAAGTGTATAGGATCAGCTATGGTACTTGGCCAAACTCATATAAAACAGGAACCAGAATGGGAATCAGACCCACATGAGATTTGTATTCAGAAGGTAGTATTTAACATCTCCATTTAAAAAAAAGAAGAAGAAAAAAAGAAAAAAAGAGAGAGAAATAAAAAGCCCCTTAAAACCCACTCTGTGAAAAAAAGACAGACAGAATTCCAGTGGAAGAAAATACCTCCAATACAAAAATGTTTTAGCAGATAGGGCTGCAACATAGAACTCCTGGCATGCATACACATTTGATTTTACCTTGCAGCATCTAATACTGTACTCCCAGTTTGCATGCTGAAGGGAACACAATATACACAACTGGCTGAAAAGTGTAATATGCATAAAAGTATTTTCAAAACATCAAAGAATCCAAAGACATAATTTTGTAGTTCTCACACTCCCCCTGCCCCCACAAGTTATTCATATTGTAGATTTGCCTCAAACAGAAAGCTACAAGAGCACTAGCCTGTGCATAGGTCCCACTGCAAACCACTCCATTCCATTCTGTAATATTAATGCATTTGGGGTGTTGAATCAAGTAGTTATCCATTCTGCCCACATAGGTATCCTTGTAGTCAGTCACTGAACCATCCAGATCATGGAATACAGAGTTCTTGTCACCATCCAGATCTCCTTCTTCAAACCAGGGACCAGGTTTTCCAAAGAAGGCTTTCAAAGAAACCTGGCAACAACAATTAAAATATTTATAGGTTTTTTTTTGCCCCCAGGCAAAGAACAGACTAACACTTGCACACCTGCAGATACACAGGAATTTGACAAAGTTGATTAAAAACCTTGTCAAGGACAGTGGAATCTTGCAAAACAGACATTTTGATTTGCAATAGGCTCAGGCCAGCTCTTGCTTCTGAACAGTGTTAATATTTGCAACTGAAAATTCATTACTAAGGATATACCAAACCTTATAAAAATCTCCTTTCAGACTTAACATTAGCCATGAAAGAGATCATCTTGCAACACATCCTACATCTCCCCTGGTATTACTTTTTGCTCGGGAGACAAAGGACACACCTTAGGTAACTTCCAACCAAGAGAAAAACTCTGGAGTAGGGATGTATGGAAAAGATGACCTAGGGCCATTGGATGTTTATTTTCAATACAGCAAAAGAAAGAAATCAAGCCATTTGAAAGAATAAAAAAACCTTGTAATAAACTTACATTCGGACCAAACTTCACAAGAGAAATATTATTTTTTGGTGTCATCTGCCATGGATTTTTCATCAAGAATCCAACTGCACTGGTAAATCTGTCTGGAGTTGGCACAAAGTTTTTGAATGTGCACTTGGTAAGGTGAATAGGTCCATCATAAATTTGAAAGCCTCTGATTGGAAATGTCCTGTTAATGCAAGCAAATATTTATAGCATCCTGTAACAAAACCCATGATAACCCTGAATCTATGTCATAAATACAATTCCTCTCAGAGGAATCAAGAAAGCAACATTAAGAGAATGACTTGCAGGTTAGATCTTAGTGAAGGAAATCTTGTTTCTGCACTTACCTAATGAGTCAAAAAATCTACCGCTTTTTTTTAATTTTCGTTAGAAGAGCTATCGCTGTCCATTTGCAAATGTGCCCCTTTCCCAACGCAGCAGAATAATATCACCTGCTCTTTGATTGATCATGGCAACTGGGAGAAATGCCCATAGACTGGAGGAAAGCAAACGTCACTTCTCACTTCAAGAAGGAACCCTCAGGGAATTGCAGGCTAGTAAGCCTTAGCTTGATCCCCGGGAAGGTGATGGAGCAGCTAATCCTGGAAACCATTTCAAGTCACATGAAGGACAAGAAAGTCATCAGGAGTAATCAGCATGGATTCACCAAGGAGCAGTCATGCTTGACCATCTTGATAAGTTTCTGTGATGAAATGACTGGCCTGGTAGCTGCGGGGAGAGCAGCGGACATGGTCTACCTAAACTTCATTAAGGCTTCTGACACCGTGTCCCATAAGATCCACATGAAGTATGAGCTGGATGAGAGGACAGTGAGGTGGATTGAAAACTACCTGAACAGTTGGGCCCAGAGGGTAGTAGTATGAAGTCTACTTGGAAGCCAGTAACTGGGTGCACCCCAGGGATCAATACTACGTCTAATCTTGTTCAACATCTTCATTAGTGGCCTGGATGATGGGGCTGAGTATAGTCTCAGCAAGTTTGCGGAGGGCACAAAACTGCAAGGAGCAGCTGATAAACCAGAGGGTCATGCTGCCATCCACATAGACCTTGACAGGCTGGAGGAACGGACAAATGGGAACCTCATGAAGTTCTTCATGGGGAAATGCAAAGTCCTGTACCTAGGGAGGAACAACCCTATGTGCCAGTGAAAAGGACCTATGAGGTCCTGGGGGAAACCAAGTTGACCATAAGCCAGCAATGTGCCTTTGCCGGAAAGAGACAAATGGTATCCTGGGCTGCACTGGGAGAAGTGTTGCCAACAGATCGAGGGAGGTGATCTTTCCCATCTATTCAGCACTGGTGAAGCCACACCTAGAGTGCTTGTCCCCAATACAAGATGGACATGGAGCTACTGCAGAGAGTCTAACAAAGGGCCACAAAGATGATTAAGTGACTGGAGCCTCTCCCATAGGAGGAAACATTGGGAGACCTCAGACTGTTCAGTCTGGAGCAGAGAAGGCTCAGGCAGGAATCTCATCAATGTATAAGAATCTCTGAAAGGAGGGTGTAAAGAAGACTGAGCCAGGCTTTCTCCATTGGTGTCCGGTGACAGGACCAAAAGCAATGGGCACAAGCTGAAAAACAGGAGGTTCCTCCTGAGCACAAGGAGAAAGTTTTTCACTGTGAGGGTGACTGAACACTGGCACAACCTGGCACAAGTTACCCAGGGAGGTTGTTGAGTCTCCATCTTTGGAGATATTCTAAAGCCACCTGAACATGGTCCTGGACAACCAGCTCTAGGCAGCCCTGCTTGAGCAGGGGAGTTGGATGACCTCCAAAGGTCCCTTCCAACCTCAGCTGTTCTGCTCAACTAGACTGAATACCTCATATATCACCGCCACATTAACTTTCCTCTGAATGGCTAAGCAGCAAAAAACCACGGTGGCCTAGACCTACCTCACCCTTCTTTCCTATTGTGTGGCAAGGGTAGGACTTGGCACTATGTTAAACAAGCATCACAGCAAGCCAAAGAAAAAAGAAAAGGATCATGGTCACAGACGGACTGTGGTCTCTAGTCCTAAACCAAGCCTTGAATTCACTTTACCTGAAAGCTTTTTCTTTCTCTCTTCCAGGCCCAAATGTTGTTTAAGACTAAGGGTTCATTAAAGTAGGAGAACTTATATCACTACAGAAAAGCAACCCGTGGTACCATCAGATGAAAACTGACTCAGCAAAAAGGCAAGAGTGACACAGCTGCACAGAAAGTGTTAAAAAGAAAAAAAGAGCATCACCACCAATAGAGTCCTAATCTCTTAAATCTCAGGAAGGGTATCTGCATATGATACAGAGAACATTTCTTGTATCATTTCTACTTCCTTCACTCATAATACACTTACCTATTTCTAGGCAGAGTACGTGCCTTGTTGTCTATTCCTCCAGTTCCTGCATATTTATTTTGGCCGCCTGGAAACCCATAATTCTTGCTCTCACCTATGAACAGCGACTCAGATACCTCCTGGCTGGCACCTTCATCATTTGGGAAGCTCCCATCACTACCAAAGCAATGTCAGAGATAAGCTTTTAGCCAAGACTCTCCAGCAGATGAACACACCAAGACATAGTGCTACTTTTACTTCTGTAAGTCCTCCTAAAGCAGAGCAGTCTAGACTTCATTTACAACATACAGAATAATAAATTAATCATTAACAATATTACAGCCTAACTGGTTGAAAAGCTAGCAGAGAGCTGAGCACTAAATCTTCTATCTCCCTTTGTAGTGCAGCACTCTTTCTTTTACAGACCACTTTTGCAAGCCTAGGACCAGTCTGTCATAACCTAAATGGCAGCAATTTTGGCCTGCTACTTAAGTTGTCTCTTTTTTATTAGAAAGAGACTCTTCCCCCTCTAAATGCTCATCCCCTTTCTCTTCCATTACTCACCTTCAGCTATTCAGGAGGAAAATCAAAACTGCCTAAGGACTCACAGAATACCAAAAACTGGATAAACATAACCCTTCTGGTGAAGAGGCAGCAAATTGTGGTGTAAACCAAGCACAGATTGAATTAAAGTGCAAGTTTTTGCAGCTGTGTCAGTTTACAGCCTCTATAACATCATTTGCACCACTGGAAATAGAACCTGGCCCAAAACTGAAGTGACAGCCTTATCAAAATACACCTGTTAATAGATGGATGTATATGTTCTAAGCTTCTAGGCAAGAAAAAACAGAAGTGATTAATATGAAGTACTCACCTAGCAAATGTCAAACCTATTCCATTGTCTGCAAACCTAAAAGAAAGTTCAAAGCTTCAGTCATGTTTTCTGGATTATCCTACAATAAGCTACTGCAAGAGCACATCCTGCTATGCACTGAAGAAAGCTTGAATTTTTCTATTAATGGAATTTAGAACCACCACAAACTTAACTCTTACAAAAATCTTGCTGTTAAATTACTTGATTTTTTTTTTTTTAAATACATTTCAAGGAGGAACATGAGAGCTTCAGGGAAACCATAGATACCTCAGTATAAATTTACTGTCTTTACCTACTTGGACTTCTTTTTATCACATAGTTTCTTTTTGTCATTTAAGGCAGGTTCTCATATAATGACATATAAACTTGTTTCATTTAAAGTAGTGGAATGGTGTGAAAGCAGTTCAACAGATTGAGCAGTTCGAGTTAAGCATCTTCTTGTATAACCCTGCTGTAATGCACTTTCATAAACAAAGCTTCAGGGGAAACTTCTGAACATGCAGCTATTTGCTTCCGGATACCTACCCAGAGTTTTGAATGAGGATATCCCCTCCCCTGACCCAGGCCCCGTGATCATTGTTTTTGAAGGAGATTAATCTGTCAATCAGGGCAGCAACTCGGGGCTTTTCAGGGTCTGCATCTTGATGAGGTCGAAACCTGGGACAGATAAAAACCCACACACTCAATATAAGAATACTGTTTGTTTTACACATCATATATGTTGGGCTGAGAGAGCCTGAAAGATAAACACTTATGCTCATCTGATGGGCAAAAATCTACTCTGCTTCACATTTGGAATGACAGCAACCAAAACCAGGTGCATCTCTAGCTCTCTATTTCTAGAAAAGTGTCTCCAGGGTACAACAAAGCAGGAACATAAAACTTATCTTTCCCAGTAACTCTCAATGGCTTTTGCTCAATCTCCCTGAGTTTCTTTAGCTGTGTCGCATCTCCTTTTATCCCCTGCTTTTTCTTTTTGCCCTCCCTAAAGTACTCCCTCCCCACTTGTATTGCAGCATTAATGTGAAAGTTTGATGGAAGGAATTAAAGCTCCTTGGAAGGCTACAAAGGGCTGACATGCACTATACAAAAAAAAAAAGGCTGGAGGCTTGTCTAACTGTTCCTTCAAATCTTTCAAACTCTTCTGACATTGAGGAGTGCTCCTTCTTTGAGCACATGTGAGATATTTTTCTGTTCCAACCCAGACACTCCACATTGCTACCAGGATGGTCTCATACAGTAAGTTATGGCTGGACCCTATTTAACATAACAGGAAGAAACAGCCTAATTAAAGACTGGTAGAACCTTTCACTTGATTATCCCCACAATCCCAGAGAAAAAGTAATAAATTACAGAAAAATTACAAAAATGCATTTTTGAGCAGGTAAAGATATATATATCCCTTATTCTGATCACCTTGCACTCCAATTCAGATCCACCCTGACCTACCCCACCAGGGGAGGAAGGAGAAAACAGGTGAATGTTTTGGTTTTGACAGTCTCAGGTTCCTCAAGGTTTAAACCCCTCCAGTTTGGTTCCACGTACAATGATTAGTGGCCTCATGTAGTTACAGAGTGCCTCATTACTTCTTTGGCTGCTGTGAAACATGAACCCCATCTCATGCACTGAGTTTCTCACGTCCTCTGTTGATGCTCTGTCAACACACTACAGGTTCTCACAGGGCCTCTTCCCCTTGCATGTTCCTCTTGACTACCTATTATGACTGAGGTAATCCACAAGGGTTATATGTGTTTTCTGTCAAAACTTCTAACAAATTGTTTTCCAAATCATGAAGTATCGAGTATCACCAAAATTGGGAACCTTCCTCTCCGCATCTGCAACTATCACTTAACTATCCCCATCCCAAACACAAGTCAATCAGAAATAGTCTTATGAACTGTGTTTTCACTCTTAATGCTTGTTGTCACAATAAAATGTTGATGGATCCAGTTACCCAATATTGTCTTTTGACCACCATCCCAGGCTATTTTATTTGAAGTTCCGGACAAGACTAACCAGGCACAGTATAACCTGGAATTTTCCTAGACTCTCCATTATTTTCTCTCACTTTATAAAATAAAGAAAATGTGGTTGATTGTACTATCTCTGCAAACAGCCTTCAGTAAAACTGTACCACTAAACTATGATCCCCAAGTCTAGAAGGTACAGCAGGAAGCATTCAGCAGTAGGAAAGGCAAGTGGATGTATTACTTGGCTCTATTAAGCCTTTTTCTAACAATTATTTAAAACCAAATCATAAATCAGAAGAGCAGGTTTTAAAGTAAGACTTTACTTTTTAGCAGCAATTCCAGAAAATACTTTAAGCATGACAGTAGAGCATGTTTAAAACAGTGTCTCCTAAGAGGGTGAAAACTACCCTAAGCAAGGTCTCAGAAGAAACAGCCAACTCCTTTAAGGCACACCATGCTCTGTTGTTCCCAAAACAGATGAACAAATGAGGGAAAAGAATATTTATGAACTTGTTGCTCTGTTATTATTTATAAATAATTATATTGTTTAAAAATTTTTTTCCTCATGTGAATGTAAGAGCAAACTCAGAACTTTGCCATTTTTCACTCACTTGAAAGACAATATCCTTTACCTTGCATTGTTGTCCAAACAAAGATATTCTCTGGGATCATCAACACTAGCATTAGTTGTTTTAACACCCTTATCAATGAACAAACCAGCCTGAAACAAGCAAAGAAAGAAAATTCATCCTATCCAAAACAAAAGATCGAGTAAACATTAAACTTCTAAAACTTAAACTTTACACTGCATTCAATACATGTATTAGAAACTCTTAGATCTTTCAGTTTGGCCTTAACTGACATATTGTCTATGAGAAAAACAGCATCTGTCTATGCTAATTTGGGCAGAGGAAAATAATTGCCTGGCATTAAAAAAAAAAAAGTAATGGAAAGTCATTAAAGTTCATTTCAGATTTCTTTCACAACTTCTAACTATTTGAGGTTTTACACTTATTTCCAGATGCTGTTCTGGAAAATCTGGAAGCCAATCTTGTGGTGAATTCAAAATATTCTCACAAATGGGGGGTGGGGTGGGGATGGGATGGGGACACCAAACCACTATGAAAAATGCTTTGTATTTCACTTTAAAACTAAACTACCGTCAGCACCGAAGCTGATTTTTGCCCAAGCAATCACCAACTTGAAACTCAATAATCCAGTATGAAATAATTTACTTGAGAAAACAGAAGCAGAAGGAAGCATTTCTATTATTTAACCTGAATTACGTACACAAATACCTGCAGCTACTTTCACCTCTGATCCAAACTACGATTACAGTCGAGTGTTCCAAGACAATCCTCAGACCTGCTAGTGGAGTTCGCTCTTTTAACATGGAATCTTAGCACACAAACTGCTACCTTTGTTTAAAGATAATACAAGCCATACAGCTGAAACCCTTTTTTCTTTACAATGAGCTTTTGTATTCAGTATGTTTTAATTACAATCTGAACAAATGCCCTACAGTCCCAAACACCATTAACACAGCTTCTATAAAACAGTGCATCATTTCTTGGTATCCCAGACACCCAACTGTCAAGTAAAATCAGTTTAACTTGGTTAAAAAAAAAGAAAAAAGTCCAGTAGTGATCCTGAACTTCATTAGGTAAATTTCAAACACACATAAATGTCTAATTAGGGGGCTTTCTAAATGTCATTTTATATATTTTTTTTTATATATATATGTATGTATACATACACACAGAGAGCAGCTAGATTCCAAATGAAATAATTAATTTAAGGACTTTAACTTCACTTAGCTGAATCTGTTAAAGATACTAAAGTCACACTAATGAAACAATACTGAATGCCTGTATCTAGGCTGAGAACCTTCTAACAAAAAACTGTTGCCAACATGGAGATCCTGAAGGCAACCTGAAAGCTTAATCTCTAGTCAGAGACTGTGCCACCATGCGCAAACACCTGAGTTACTGTACATTAGAGACTTGGTGAAACAAGTCACAGCTATTCCTGGAAGCTATTAGATGAATCACAACTGTAATAAACTTTGATGCTTCAAGGGTCAGCTTTCTTCAGAGTAGAAAACAATCCCATCAGTTAGAGGGTAGCATCTGAAATGCTACTTCTGAGACAGCGTATTTCATTAGAAGTATTAATTGATTTTAGTTGTTTGTGCCTTACGAGGATTAAAAAGTACAGTGAATACTCAAAATGTGGCAAGAAACTATACGCATACTGATTATACTGTTTTACAATACCTAGATAGAATCATGCAGTTCAAACACAGCATGAACCCTCACCTAACCAGCTTAAAATGTTAACAGACAAGTCCTGATATAGAATAGTTACAAATAAAGAACTTCAATTTTTTTTTTTATGAGATAATACATTACCTTAAAATTAGAATGAACCCTGTTGTTATAGAAGATTCCTAGGGGTGTAAGCTCTGACTTCGTTTCAATGGCTAAGCTATGAGAATCTCCTGTAGCAACCCTGTGGAACAAATACCATATCCCAGCATCCTGCAAGAAAGAAGAGAGACACTGCTTACAAGTGAGTCTGATACTAATATCAGTGCTGATGCATCTAATCACAAAATAAGTGTATGCTAAGTTGAACTTGGATATTTTAAGTAAGGAAGCGAATAAGAACATAGCCCAAACCAATTGCGCATAATGGAATACAGTTTTTCAAAATAAAGTCTCCAAACAACTGTCCAGTGACAAAAAAGAATTTTGCAAATAAGGCTATAATCTAGTCAATAATATGCACTAAAAAGTGTTTTGCTTCTCAGTGAAACCATACACCACCACACTTTTAAGACAGTCTAATATTTCAAATGAGAAAACTGTCAGAGTTGATGTAATTTTTGCACTTCAGTTATATTTCACCACACACACTTGATTTTCCTTTGTTTCCTAGCAAATCATACCATTTACAGTAAAATACTCAAACCCCCTCCTCTCTTCCTTACTGTTACAGTCTGACTAAGGTTTGTTCATCTCTGCTCACATCAGAATTTAATGACACAGCCGAAAAACCCACAAGAGCTTTCAGAAGATGGGGGAAAAAAAAAGCACATCAAGAAGTCTGGCCAGTTCAGAGAACTGTGCCAATAACATGCAGTAATAATTTCAGCATCTGTTCATTTTCTCCACCTCAACATCCCTGCTCTTAAAGAAGCTGGATTTATCTGCTAAACGCGACCCATAAAGTTCCCCTTTCAACCACATCTGGGTTCACAAGAGGTGGCATCGCAACAGCCAGATAGCAGATACCTACAAACACGAAAAATTTTGTCTGACCACATGCTCTGTGCCCTTATAAAATAAGAAAAATCTTTGCATAAGGCACATTAAGGGTTAAACAGTAGCTAAAGAAACACTGCGTACTGAGTGCTCCATCTCATGAAAAATAGTCATCATCCTCCTGTTCAAGAATCGTGGATAAAGCCAATTCACTCCGGCTTAAAAGATTTCACGCATTTCACTCTGAGAATATACTCATTTTCCAGAGAGTCCTGGAAATTCTGCTTCTCAGTAACATATTCCCATCCGTAATTATGACACACTTTGACATTTCTGGTGATTAACAACTCCAAAGAAAATGTGGATGTTCCATTAATAAAAATACCAAAGTCTTACTTCACATATAATTAAATACAGATCTGTGCTTGGCAGACTAAAGTAATTTTTATTTCCAAGCAACATCCTGATGCTTGGAAAAAAGTTTAATAAACTTAAAAGCTCCTTAAGCACTTACAAGCATTCAGAAAAATGAAAAGGGCTCCCCCCTCGACCCCTCATATACAGCTCAAACAAAAGAAACATCTATTGCCGATACACCCTTACAATAGGCTTGTGTAATGAAGCCGCTGGGGGGGGCAATGGAATTATTTTATTTGCTTGTGAACTGTTAATAGTTTATACCAGCAAAAGCTCTACAGTGCAGAGTTTGTATCAACACAGTTGAAGTATTCTGTTTCTGAAACATAGTAAGCTGTACTCCCTTTATACTAATGTGTTTACATCCATGCAAGGGAGGTAGATTAGAGTGGCAAAACTTTGTAACATACACAAATGCTTGCTCTGACCCCGCACATTCTGGTAACAAAAGGAAGTGACGTTCACTGGGATACACTACAGAGGCAGAAAAAGACCTTGCAGGTTTTAAGCACCAGACCAAGGAAGCTGTTTCCTTTAACTTAGCCTGCAATGCTAAAACAAGGTAAAGGAATATTACATAAAGCAGGCAAAATGGAAAGACATTGTGTTGGGAAGGGAAGAACTGTTTTGATTCAGTAAGTGTGTCCAGATCCTTCCTAGTGGTAGACAGTCAACTAGAAAATTTTGTCCAAAAAAAGAAAGCCAGACCACACAAAAAGCAGACCAAATTTTCTACATTTCTTTATACTCTAGATATTTCAACTCACTTAAATATTTTGAAACCTGTTCTATTAATAACAGTCTATTATGTATTCTGTGCCTAAAAATACACTGACACACACCCATGTTCTACTTCCAGTACCGGAGCCTTTGCAACAACAACAAAAAAATCTTTCCTGTTTTCCATTCCCACTGATCTCTTCAGAAAAATCCAGTCAAAACCATGCACATCTCAGCCTCTCATCCAATGGAGAAGTAGAACAGACTCCATCCCCCTCCTCCACAACATGTACCGAGTAGTTCCGCTTTACTTCACAAGCAGCTGTGACAAGAGATTTGCACTAATATAAGGTTCACAACAAGTAAAAACAAATCAGCAGTCACTGATGGGAAAGAAATGACTAACGACTGACAATAGAAGTTGTTTTATCTGTTTCTTACACAATGAACATTTTTTTGTAGTCATTTTTCATTCCAGTGACTACTGCTATGAAGACAAATCTTGCAGAGCAGTCATGCACTAAACTTATGACAACCTACATAAAATACGGAAGCCTTACTAAGAAATGCACTAGTTCTTTGGAAATAAAAGGATTTATTTCTACATACACACATTGACACTATTGTCAGGTCTATTAACTACAAAGAGGAAGAGATCTCCTCCACTCTAGCCAGAACAAAGATTTCTGGCATCTCTTAAATGTGCACCTAGACAAACCCTACACTTGTAATGCCAATATGCTGCCAAACATAAAAAGAACATATTAAAATTAAAAAAAAAGGAAAAATCTATGTATTTTTGGCAGTGTGTTACAGGTTTTTAGAAATACCAGTAGCCTGAGTAGTTTGTTTTGAATTACATCCATACACCTCACCTGTGAACCTGCTGCTGCATTATTTATAAGATGATTGTTGGGATGAGAAATCCAGAACGTCGAAACTGCCCTGAAATATTATTCAGAAAGAAGTTATTATGGAAAAGCTCTAGCTGCTACAGAAATATCTCCCCTCTGTTACAAGCATATCAAAAAAAACTAAACTGATGTCTGAAGTCACTACTTCACATATGAAATAAAAATCACCCCCCCCTCCACATTTAGCAGTCAAAAATGCTTCTTTTTTTAGTTCAGTGCACAGTATTTTATTTAATGTTGTTCAGATACTCCATGCAATGATAAACTGTGTTAATAAGCTTCTACAAGAGATTAGTAGTATGCAGAAAAACTAGTGGAGACAACTTGAGAATGCGTATGTCTTTACACAGAAGTAAAGATGCAGCCTTAAAAGTCTATTGAACAAGTATCACAAGAAACAAAATTCTTCCTACAAACTTATTTATTCTCTTTAATAAAAGACTAAACACTAATTCTTTTTTTTTTTAAATACCACTATTATGTGAACCACATCTAATGTGTCTGCATTCATTAAATAACACATTAAAATGTTCCCATTGGTATATTGTCAAGAGATTATCAGCAGTTTGACTGCTGCAGCTGGTTTGGTTTTACTTTTTCACTGTGAAATACTCACATGCAGTCTGTGGCTGGCACTGGGACATAACTTCCATACACTTTATCCCTAATACCAATACACATGCTGCTGTTTCTATCTGTAGGAAGAAGAGTGCCTGGTTTCGTGACTAGTCCAAGGTTGTGGAACAAAGTATTCCTCTGCTCAATGCCATCTTCTGTGAAGAAACAGTGACCTAGTGTGTCATAGCCAATGGTGTCCTTTATCTGCAGAAATACAAGTTCATTATGTCAGTAGCAATAGCATTTACTGAGATTTATTTGACAAGTACCATTTAGTTTTACTATTTTGGCACAGCTGCAGAGTGAAGCTTCGGTATCAGCAGTTCAGATGATTCAAGCATACAGTTTTATTTATCCCTTACAAACACACTACTATGTCTGGAGAGCTTAGCTGCCTGGAAGAATCTGAAAAAACAGAATGGTGAGACCTGTTAAAAGTAAGTTACTGTTTGCACTTGTTCATTTATTCGTTGCAATAAAAAACCCAACATTGCTGAGCATTAAACTTGAAGAAGGGAGGAGACTATTTTTGCTCTAAATGTTCTTTATGACATTTGTTTCAACACAGTATGTTCTACTCTCCTTGCACCTACCAGCAAGCCATTAGTTGCATGAACAGTCACACATCTGGAAAAACAGTGATGAATGGAAAGACCTTCCAGGTAAGTCTTAAAACTATAACCTCCTTTTTCATCCACATCCCCACAAAGGTGAAAGTGAACAGGATAACTTCCAATCTGCTGCTGGCCCATTTGCTTCAATTCCACATAGGAGAGATGAACAGATGTAAAATTCTTCAAAATCTAAAAATATAATGAGAAGTCCAGAATGAATAACCAACTATTTGCTTTTTAACCAACAGAAATTTAAGTTAATACATCATCTATACCAGATGTACAAAAGTTAGATGTATAGTTACCACAGGCCAACACAATAACAGTTAGAACAATCATTACTGTCTTGCTCTCTATCCTGCCTTACAAAACAGTATCCTTCATAAATAAGCATAAAAGCTAAATCTCCATTTGGCTAAGAGAGTAATTTCCACCAGACATGTTGCCACACTTTACTCTTTGGTCTTTACCACCTGGCATATTAAATATTCTTTACGTATAACCATGCACTGTCCAAATACACAGAAGTTGCTCACATCAGGGCCTGTCTATACTGAAACTGTACTAGCATAGCCCACCTGGGACAAGCTTAGTTGAATAAAACCACAGAATAATACAGATTCAAAGGAACCTGTCGAGATACCCGGTCCAGTCGCCAGCTCAGCACAGGGCCAGCTTAATGGCAGCTGCTCAGCGCATTGCCCAAGGAATACCTCCAGCCACAGAGATGCTCATATGACATCAGCTGGCTCTTCCCTTTCATTTTCCTCATATCTAAGCAGAATTTGCTTTGTTGAACCTTGGTCCCATTGCCTCTTGTCCTATCACAGTGCACCTCCAAGAATTGCTCTGGCTCGTCTGAACCCCCCCAAGTGCCTGAAGACAGCAGTGACATCCCTCCTCTTCACCTTCCCCACACCAAACAAGCCTTGTTCTCTCAGCTCTTCCTCACTCATCCTCAGGTACTCCCACACCCCACCTTTACTGGACACACGCCAGTGCATCTACATCTTCTTTGCAATGGGAACCCCACACTGGATGGACACAGCAGTCCAGAGCAACTTCTTTATCAAGAAAGATATGAAATTGCCTTCAGAATCATACAACTTCACAGTAACACTACCTAGTACAAAGTAAAAACATAATGGGGCTGTACTGGTCACACAGGAAAGCGAAAGTATTTTCTTCCACCTAACCTGCTATGAAAATGGAAACCAAGTGCAACAGCTACACTGCAAGGAGCTAAGCTGAGAAAAAACCTTTTCTGTTAGTTCACTAACTTACCTGTACTGGGTATTTATTAAAAATAACCATTTTCATATGTACTTTGTCCTCTGGGGAAATTAGTAACATGGACTTCCCCCCCCGCCCCCGCCCAACCCCCCGCTCTAGTTGCACTGCTGTTTGTATGCCTAAAATACGTGGGGATGGTCAAACAGGCATCCCTGAGATCTCCGACTCTTAACATTTAAAAGCACTAATGCAGTCATAAAACTACAAACCAATGCCTCTCCTCACTGCCACTAAGCCTCCTTTATACTACTGTCCCAGTGACCGGTAGAAAATCTGGGATGATCAAAACCCCTGAGGCCATTAACATCTGCTAGTGCCCAGACACCCTCTGCTTGAGCACGCCAGATTAACATAAACTGAAAATGCTTTTAGTGCTGAAGTCTAGGTTTGGCAGCAGACACTCAGCTACTCTGAACAGCCTCCTGGGAACAGTTTAACAACTTTGATGATTCAAAATGTTTGTTTTCTGTTCTAGCTTCCAGACATCTGAGGGGTCTGCTGTATTTACGCTATTGTGGCAATCAAGGTCATGCTTTGCAGGATTCACAGCTTGTCATTATCTTCTTTCATTACATTATCTTACACACAAAAGAGTGCCTTGAGCCCACCTACTTCTCTTACATAAAACAAAAGCTGACACACAGTAGGCAAAGGGCATATTTTCTTTCCCACCATTATGTCCACCACTATAAAATTAAAATCTGCATCCAAATATATTAGGAAGAGAGATTTACACTGTGACCAGCCCATAATGAGCACAAATACATTTGCATTTAAAATACAAGGCCTCAAACTTCTCCAGCGTCAGTGAAAAGCTGATCAATCCTTTCATCTAAAAACATACGTAAATATAAGTTTAAATATTAGTTTCTGTAACACTACTTTCCCTTAGCTTTCTTTATGTTTATGGTAATACGAGAAATTAGAAACAGGTTCCTTTACATAACCTTAGTGCTTTCAATTTTTTTAAAAATTAAATAAAAAACCACCATGGTCCAACTCAGTTTCTTTCCTCTCCATGCCTCTCTAGTGACCAACTTCAGATGAGGCAGATCTCTAGGATTTAATGCTTACCAATTGGGGAGGGAAAAAGGCAGTCAAAGGAGGGAATACAGAGAAAAGGGAGATTAAACTTTATTCTGTAATGCTACAAGATGCACATGCATGGATGTCATTTTTAAGGTTTAATCCCTGCCATACAGTGTTGCAATATATGCTGGATACTTCTACAACATTTAATGCATTGCTATGCCTTCCTCCAATTCTGGAGACTAAGTCTTGACAAGTTAAATTAATTTTGGGAAAGCTGAGAAGGAAATCATTTCTATGCAATACAGCTGTATGAATTGATGTTCTTGAAGTTTTCAAATCTTACAAAGTTTAGCATTAGCTTTCTGGCATGTAAAGGCATACTGAGGACAAGAAGATTACTTTAAAATGTTTTTCAGACCTTGATATGTCCACCAAATGTATCATAATTGAAGAACTGACACTCCTTTTCACGATAGCAGGTATTTTCTGTCTCCCCCTTGATTAAGATGTTCCTCGTAAGAACTCCGACTTCTGCCCTCATGTCCACTCCATCAATAACTTCTCCTACATGTGGAAACTGAGGATTTTCTGTCCAAAAACAGTTTTGGAAGGGGGGGGTGGGGGTAGGGAGAAGAGTTGTCATTGATTGAAAACAAAACCAACTTATTTTATATAAGCAAGCCAATTATAGTAACAAAACCCATGCATTCTGATACCTTAACATGCTGTTCTCCCTTAGCTTTTGTTATGCTAAGGCACACAAAAAGCACATAATTGTTAGATGATAAACATTAGCCCAGCTAACACCAAGCAAATTCCTTCCTTCCAGACTGCAGTTGACTATGATAGTTAAGCATCTTGCAGGATGATGAATCAAGTATGCTACTCCATGTTTCCTTTCAAAACAAAGTGCTGTCTATTTATTTTTCATTTTAGTAAGACAACTAATCCTAAACAAATCCCAACATTTTATTTGCAAGTGCATCTTAATTTCAGTCCAATTTGTGAACAGAATGGATAAAAACAAAGAAAAGTTTAAATGAATTCAAGGTAACTAGAAAACTTTTAATGAAACATAGATACAGATTTGCTTTAAAAGAAAAGACTACACTGGCTGCTTAATCTGTTCTGAAGAAACATTAGGAACTGAAAATGAGGCCAAAACATCTCTAGTAAACACTGCATTCACCCTCCTCTGAAAGAACAAAGGATTTGCTTTCCTAACTGAATTTGGTTTTTCCTAGGTAGCTATTCTGAAGATGCATAAACTAAAACTAGGGAAAGCAAGATACTCCGGGTTTACACTGTTCTTCCAAAGAAACAATCAACTACTTCTTTGTCTGTATGAAGTGAGAAAATTATCTGGTCCTGTAAACTTAAAAAAATGTGTTTGTGTGTTTATTTTTTAAAAAGATTTCTTCCCCTTGCTTTTTTTTCTCCCCCCCTCCCCCCCCTTATTGATTCCCTGAGCACAGACTGTCACTATCCCTTCAAAGCTTACAAAAGGATACAAGCCTAAACTGGTCATTACCACAATTCAAAGCAGAAACAAGAGTGGTATTAATTCTGTACGTGCTGTTGAGGATTTAAAAAGACAACAGATGTCTGTAAAGGGGACTGTACTCCTCTCCTTGAAGGCTTACCTATTGTGTTTCCCTATATTTGACTAGCATACATAAATCAAGGAAAGAAAGAGTAACTAGGCCTCTTACAAAACAATACTTTTTGGTTTTCCTACTACAGAGGGCCAAAATAGCTAAAAACTTAGCAAAAAATACAAGAAATAGTTTCAAAAGATGGTGAGTTCTTCAGCCTGTCGAGTTTGCCGTTCCACAGAAAAATCATTCTTTGTGGAACAAATATATAGGGTAGTTTGGGGATTTTTAGACAGTATCTGTTACTATGACAAAGGAAACTTGGTATTGTGAGTGGAAAAAAACAAGATGGGCCAGTTCACCTCCTTTAACACCTTTTAAAGATCTATATACAATTCAGATGCCTTTTTCTTTGAAAATGAATGCTAAGATTTTGTATTTTACACCATATTGTAAATCTAGAAATTTTTTTTTTTTAAATCCTTTAAAAGCAGCTTCTTTTTCACAGTACATGATTTCCAAGATGAAACAAGAGTTTGCACACACACTATTAAGTGGTGGCAAAAACCTTCTTAAAACTTCATACTGCAGCCTTCAAGTTTAGCTTGCTCTTTAAAACACCATGCTCAGTAACACACACAATGTGAGACACTTAAGAACAAAGCCCAGGAAGTGTCACCCTCAATGGCACTAAGTCAGCTCTGCAGCTTCACACACCCTGGTAGTCTCATGATGTACAGTAAGGTCAACTTAGACACCTTCCTCCTGTATCTGGGGCTTCACAATACAGTAAAACATATCTGACCCATGCTAACAAATGCTGTGGGATGCAAACTGCACTGCAAAGCGGGCATACAAACTGGCAGTCCCTTAAGTCATGGGGGAACAGGAAAGTTTGAGGGTGTTCACAGAAAACTTCCGAGAATGGAGAAAGAGAAGAGTGGTTTGAAGAAGAGGAAGTTGCACCATACAGAGGTGAGTGGGACAAGACCAGATCCTGAAGAGCACTGATCTAACTGCAAGCTAACACTGCAAAATAACATTAGTTAGTTTGTGCTGCAGCCCACCAGAAGGGAGTGAGAGGGGAAGCTCAAGACCTGAGGCTGGTGGACCACCGTGGAGCAGGGCGCTGGCACGGAGCGCCAGGAGGAAGACGCAGACACCGGCAGAGCGGGGGAGCCAGTCCCAGGGGAGGCTCTTGTGAAGTAAAGCAGAATGACTCAGATAATAAAAAAAGGAAACGGTCAACAACATGCATGACCATTTTGCGCACATCACACCCAAAGGAAAAACAGATTGAAACTACTCAGGGATATCCTGTGTGAGCAGAGGCTTGGAAGTGTCACTTATTTCGTAACTGTTTTGCTGGTGGGGGATGGAGGGGGAACTGAGGAAAGGGGCAGGGGGGAAGAGAAAATGACAGGTTCCAAGATTGCCATTGTCTTTTTTCTTCTTTTTTTTTTTTCCTTTCTCCTTTTTTAATAACAACAGAAAAAGTTATAATGATAACACTTCAGAAGATGGGAAGGGCACTAAAGAAAAAGGAAATGGTAATGACCACTTCAGCCATTCAAGCACATATAAAGAGAACTAGTGAAAAGACAGAAAGGACCCAAGAAAGGAAAACAAGCATAATCCTCTTGGAAGAAAACTAAAGTGTTCAATGAGCCTGGGAAGAAAGGAGAAATAAAAGTTAGTATGGTAAGCTGTGAGGCAGACCTGACATTATACAGAGCAATTTTATATCAAGGAGAAGTACACATTCCTGTATACGGCCACAAAGAGATAGATGAACAGGCTGTTCTTTACTGCTCCCGCTGAAAGGCACTGTCTGGGGTGTACTACTGTGAATACGTATTTGATACAAATCCTCAAGTGGTGACTGCTCTCATACCTTTGACTTTGACCTGATGCTTGGTACACTCTGGACAGGGAAGGAGGGTGAATTCCTCTGTCTGATACATTGAATAGTCTGTGCTTGCAACCACAATCCGGTCTCCAGGCTCCCAACTACTAACATCATCCAGAAGATTCAGTATCACTCCACCTACAGCTTCTACCTGGAAGCCTGAAATTGGGATACCTAATTTAAAAAGAAAAAAGAAAAGAAAAAAGTAAACACAATATAAGGTTATCTTCACCTTTATAAGAAACCATCTCCAAGAAGATACTAATAAGAAACGTAGAAGATTTCACAAGCTCCAAAGCCCTCTAAAGTACAATTCTGCTCTGAAACGTGCTACTGTGAGATACTATTAACAGCCTGCTTATTTGGCAGATCTCAAATAAAACAAATGGAAGAGATGGAACTAACAGTGACAGGAAAAACTCTAATATCATATGGCAACAATCTGTAGGTGCAGCTACCTCTACTTGTTTCAAGTGACATTTTTCTGCAATTTAAAACTCTACAGATGTAATCAAGGACCTGGCAAAACAAAGTAGGGGAACTTTCCTTTTTATTCACAACTAATAAAACAGTTTGGCAGGCTAAATTACACACACATGCTACTTCACTGCCTTGTGATGGATTTGCATAAGTTCAGCTACTGTTGCTTACTCTTGACCCTAACTCTACAGTACCAGCAAGTAAAAGATTTATTTTGGTGGATTTTTTTTTTTTAAAGTAAGTCTGTACATTTTCATGGGGCTGTAATGAACAGTAAAGGAGTAGTATCAAATAGCTTAATTAACAAATAAATGTCCAACTACCTTAAAAAAAATTCTCTTCTGAGGCCAACACAATATTGCTTAGTAACTCTACAAACAGAAAAAGACGACTGCACATAAAAAGCAAAACTCAGCTCAAAGATATCTTAAATACAAAAATGAATAAAGGATAAAAGCAAGTGAGTGGTATGCCTTCCAGACTCTTTATACCACAGATTCAACTTGGTATGAGAAAAGCTGCCTAAAGTTCAACATCAAACAGCAACAGAAGATTGTAACAAGAATAAAACATTTCTCTTGGTTTCCACCAAGTTTTCTTTTTAGGATCATAATCACCACGTCAGAAGCTTAGATTAAAATATACATAACTGACAAATTACTAAAAGGGGAAAAAAAAGTCTGTTTCAGCCTTTTATAAGACCCCTTATCTCTATCTAAATGTATTAAAAATGAAGACTCTTAATGTTATGCTGTTCACATGCTGTACACAGACTGAGAAAATACATTGTACTGAAGAACTGTGTCCTCATACTTCATCCACAGCAAAAAAAAAAAAACAACCAACCACCCAAACAAGCTGAAAACCTCCCGCCTTACAGCAGCGCTCAGAAGTTTAAACTGCAACCAACAGTTCTAGCGAAAAAAGCATATATAATACATACAATATTTTTTACTTCTTCCCCAACTACAGGATTTCACAAAATGCTTTCCTACCATCGTTCCATTCGCTGTAAGCTCTCACAACAAACTTCTGACCATCCACTGTGAAAAACTCTTTCTGAGCAAGAGCTTTCCCACCAGTGCTGTGATTTTCATAGTTTCTCACTGATTCATTACAGGAAGAATTTCCACCACCTAACACACCAACAAAAGCCCAGGCTTGCCTGTGAAAACCAAAAGTAAATGTTTATGTAATGGTCCTTAACAAATTCTTCACAAACAGGTAAAGGACAAGACAAGGAGCACAGAAGTCATAAACAATCCTTTTACCTGCTCTTTCAAATTCATTTTAAAACACATCTTCAAAATGCAGAATAAAAACGGTCAGACCTCATTGAAAAGCAACATAGTTTAAAATAACTGGATGTCCTATATACAAACTGGCAAATACAAGAGCTCTTAATGGAGAAGACTTTCAGATATATTTTTAGTATAACATCCAACAAGACACGCTTTTTCCAAAAGCCAATCGCAAGAGATGAGCGACAGAAGTGATAGAGGATGCTACTGCCAAACAGCTTCACCGGGGCACAGGAAGACACAAGAACGCCAGTGCCGACATTCCTGCCGCAGCCTGCTGCCATCACGGCACCGCGGCAAGCGGCGTCCCACAGCACCGGCCAGGAGAGCCGGGAGACTGCGCATGCATCGGCCAGGAGGGAGGGATGCAGCCAGCAGCAGCTGCTGGCGGTCACTGTACTGGATAGGCAATACCTCTTGAACCTTTCAAGATGCTCAGACCCAGAAAAGGAACAGCATACTGTTACACAACCTACGCACAAGGCATCACAGATGTTTCTGAGGGCTGAGACCAAGAATTTTTGCTTTGCCCCCTCCTCGCTGGCCCTTCCCTCAGCTGGACACCTACTTGGCTGAGCACCGGCATGGAGCAGGGGACTGTTCTGGATGTGCTTCCCCTTCCTACAGCTCTGTTCAATGCATCCAAGTTTTTGGAAATGAAAAACAAACCCCACGCCACAGAAAGCTGCCACCAAGTTCAAAAAAAACAAGACTATTTTGCTGTCCTTTACTGCTCTGTAATGCCATAATTATGTGTGCAGAGGAAGCAGTTGAGATCATCTATTAAAAAGCTGAACAATTTTGCATCATTAAAGTTGAATCATTCACCCCAAATGAAAACTGTGCCAGCTAGCTGGACTGCAGTCCGTTGCTAATGATTGATTCAAAGGCAGGTATCAAAACCACGTTCAATCCAGTTGCCTTTGTTTCAGTCCCCTCATGATGTTCTTACTGATTGGGATTAAAAGGCCAAATGAAACTGTTTAGTGTTAACCTGTTCATAGGAATAGTACATACTAGGCCAGCTTTTAGGCCAGTAGCAGAGGTAAACAAGCTGAACGTTTCACATACCAACATTTAAAATAAATATCAAGATATTTTAATGCATGATATTTTGCCGGAAGAGGCAGAAGGGCAGAGGGATGTAATGGAGTGTTCACCTCTATGCTGAAGCCTCCTTCGCTAGCTTTACAGATTTAGCAGTATGACCCTGCGTCTCCTCAGTGAGGACTCAGGGAGAGCTTCTTGCCAGTCTTCCACGGCAGAACAAGGCAGTTTTATGTGCTTACAGACCCTCTACCAACTAATGAAAATGGACAAGAACCAGCTCCGCAGAGAAGGAAGGCAGGCTGCTTCTTCCCAGCTGGAAGCTGAAGAAGTTCCTCATGTCAGACAAACTAGTGTGGAGGTCATGGGCTGAGACACCACACACACAGCTCCGGGCCAGGTCAGGGCTGGCTGCACAGCGACCTGGACAACCGCCACATGGGCTTCACTGCTTTCAGGAAGCGGTACTTATTACAGGTGTCCTGGTTTTGGCTGGGATAGAGTTAATTTTCTTCCTAGTAGCAGGCACAGTGCTGTGTTTTGGATTTAGCAGGAGAAGAATGTGACCATGCATCCTGATATAGAAAGCCTGAAACGTCACCAGGTCTCCATCTTGGAGAATCAACAAATATGTTTTCATTTTTCACAAAGAAGGCAAGTATTTACAGGTGGATGTTGTGGCTGTGGTGTTGATAGATGATGAGGTAAGAGGGCTGAGGTAGGCAGATGTCCTGGTTTTGGCTGGGATAGAGTTAATTTTCTTCCTAGTAGCAGGCATAGTGCTGTGTTTTGGATTTAGTATGAGAATAATGCTGATAACACACTGATGTTTCAGTTGTTGCTAAGTACTGCTCATGCTAGTCAAGGACTTTTCAGCTTCCCATGCTCTGCCAGGTGCACAAGAAACTGGGAGGGGGCACAGCCAGAAGAGTTGATCCAAACAGACCAAAGGGCTATTCCATACCATATGATGTCATGCTCAGTATAGAAACTGGGGGGTTTGGCTGGGGAGGAGCGATTGCTGCTTGGGAACTGTCTGGGTATCGGTCGGCAG